CTGTGATCCTACAGCACATCAAAGAACACCTTTGATTAGTAAGATCTTGATATCACCTTTCCACTTCTTTGAGGGAAAAGACTAAAAGGCTGTGTATGCTAATAGCTGTGGGAGGCTTTAAGTGAGAGTCAGAAAATATAATTATTTGATGGGTAAAAAAAATGCTTTCCTCTCCATTTTTCAAAACATGTTGTGTTTTTTGGTAGGTCGAGTGTGGATGTTTAAAAACAGGGCAGTTTTGCCTTTAGATGTGGTTGCATGTCACACAGTACAAACCAGTTCATTTTGAGCATACTCTGGCCTTAAATTATCTGTACTGTGGACATTTAGGGACAAGATCAGACTCTAACCCTGACTCCTAAAAACTATTAGGAGACAAAAAAATAGATGAATAAGATAATAATAATAATAAAAAAAACATTAACCATTAACCATACGGCTGCAGTCTTAGCTTGTGACGTGTTTTTTAATTGTATTCCAGTTTTCAACTATTCTGTCAGACCAAGGGATTGATTTTTGTTGTATAGTATTCAATTGTTTGTATTTTAGTATATTATTCTGTTTTTCTTTGAAATATTAGCCAACAAAACAGTCGATTGTAAGCCCTTACTGTGTCACACACGTTACAGTCATGATCTCAATTAGGATTCAAATTCCTGTGGTCTCCCTTTCGACGAACAGAGCTATAAATACCAGGAACAAAACTCTTTGCCCGTAGGAAACAATAACTTATAGACATGGAGCTGACCCAAGAAATATGCTGACAGCTGAGACTGGAAGTACACACTAGCCAAACAACCGTACACAGTTTCTGAAAAGCAAAACAATTTTGATGACAGCGTATCACCAAGAAATAAAAGGTTAACAAACCCCTAGATAGTTAAATGTTACAGAAAAGTAGGACTAACTATACAGCAGCAGTTATCGGTTTCCTCAGGGGGTCAGCTTTGTGAATATAGAGTAATTTGTCTTTGTTACAAAACAGATTTTGTGGATTATTTTCCAAAGTTCTCTGCATTTCTTTCTTTTCTGCCTTCCTCGCACTGTCAGGACGTGATAAGTCGCAGACAATAACGTTTGATCAAGTTCCAGATTTTGTGTACTGGCATGTTTAGACTTTGTTTGTATGCATGAAATGAATGACCTCTGGGGAGCGATTAAACAACACAATAGTAAATAGAAATGTGTGTTATTTTCAAGGGCGATGGATGGAGAACAATGGTGCAGGAAGAGGAGGCTGCATGTAATGGAGGCAGCGGAGAGCCTCGTCTCATCTGACTCCTTTTGATCAGTGTGCTGAAAGAACTTCCTCTATTAAAGACTTGTTCATGCCTAATCCACTAATGACCATCAAATCTGCCTCACTACGTTTCCACTGACAAACAGTATCACATCTCTATTTGTTAATTTATGACGGAATAGCGACTTTGTAAACACTTCTCTGACCTCTTTCAGCATTTTGTTTATTCTTGACCAATAACAGTGTCTGTATTGGGTTGTGGAAAGGCCAGGGTGTCAGGTGGAGGGAAGCCAGCTGTAGACACAATTGTCCAGATAGACAGAAAACAAAACTTCTTTCCTGTTAGGGAAACATGGTGAAGGTTGTTTACTTATGAGGAAGTGTGGATCTTCTTAGAATTAGTCCCACACAATGCTTGATCGAAATGTTTTGATGGATTAAGAAACCTTTTCTTTGAACAATTATTCCAGCGTCTAAACTGCTTGGAAGGTGAAGGGATTTTCCAAGAAACAGCACACTGATTCTCGCAGTCATATTTCATTTACAAGAAACGATAGAGTGAAGTATGTGTGAAGTGATTCTTCAGAGGTGTGCTAGGTAACAGTGACTTTCATATGCATGTGCAGCCTCCATCTATGTTCAATTCTGTTTCTTTTGTTCGACCTCTCATTTCCCTCCATCTGTGTTTTTGCCTGAGGTATCAATACATAAAACACACAAAGAATAGTAGGGTCTTTGTTGCTGTTGCTCTTCACAGAACCCTGCCAGACCCATGCATCTTCCTCACCCTATTCATCACAGCAACTCAGTACATACTGTATGAACGAGACACTATATAGTGAAATAGATTTTCTGATTGATTTCCTTTTTTTCCCTTGCTGGGTCGTCGTGAAATAAAAAATTATCCAAGAAAAATCCAAAAAGAAACCAATGAAGAGATAAATTGCATTTTGTCACAGAGTTGATAGATTTTAGACAAAGAAATACATTAAATGGAAGGGATGTGTCTATTTTCACAAGCAGTGTTGAACTGGTACAAAGAGACTCTTTTATGGCAATGCTACTTGTTTTATGATCCTTATAATAAGATCTGGCTGTTTTCTGACTGCCTAACTTGGAGTTGGTTTTTTTGTATTTGCTTTGTCTAGGCTGTGACTAATGACCTTAGGCCGGACCATGTTAGCATGGCCATCCAGAGGCTAGTGATTGGCATGTCTAATGAGATGCAGAGCAAGAACTAGACTGGGAATTTTGAATATGTCCATCAGAGCTACAGCGATACTCCTTCCATACCCCCTTAAGCAGAGATCGTAGCTGCGTGATCCCAGTTGATACCAGCTGGGATTGCCTGATGCTTGTTTTATTCTACTTTGTATTGCTGACAATGACTACCCCCATCCATTATGGTAGGTCTTTACTTTCCCCACTGTATTTGAAGGACTCACATAATTTCCTGTAGGACTTTCTCTCCCATACATCTCTGTGATATGACTACCAGTCCCGTTACAAGGTCAGATGGTCAGAGATAAACCAAACCTTAGAGGATCGGGGGGTTGGGAGGGTTTAGTTACTGTAAGGAAAACCTTCGAAAATGGTCGACATCATCAGCTCTTGCTGAACAATGCGCATTAGCAGAATCATGTGACAAATGCTAGTATAACCTCATTCACACAACTCATTTTAATGTCAAAAATGTTGCTCAAAATTAGTTAATGATGCAAAAAAGATTATTAAAGCTTGATGCTTTATTACATTACACTATTATGATTTCATAAGAGGTGTAATGCATTTTTTTTAGCAAGACACAGAAGAATGTGGTAATTCAATTACACAATAATACCATTAAATAGTCAAATGAAATTATGTTATAACAGATAACAGAAAGTTAAAGCATCAGATCAGCCAAATAACAAAACACATTTTATCAATTAGCTCAAGCAGTGGTAGAGTTCTGCCGGTGGTGCTCCATTTGAAAATTAAGATTTAAAAAATGTAAAAGCAACACCTCTCTGTGTGATGTCAATGTGAATTGTAATCTCAATAATTCATTGTAATTACTTTTCTTTTAAACTACTTTATACCAAAGAAACGATCCCTGTGAAAACTGTGAGTTGAGTGTGTGCGCCATAGATCGTCAGAGACGTTGTCACTGGAAAGTTTGGGAAATACGCTCCACTTCTTTGATTAGAGTTAGATGAGAAGATCGATACCACTCTTATGTTTGTATTGTAAATTTAAAAAAGCTGCTGCCAGCAGCCAGTTAGCGTAGCCTAGCACAAAGACTGGAAAAAGCTAGCCTGGCTTTGTAACAAAATCCATCTACCAGCACCTCTATATGTCAATAATGAATGTGTTATATCTGGTTTGTTTACAAAAATCTAACTGGAGTCTGCCACTGGTTGGCAACTTCTCAGCGATGAAAAAACTCCAGGAAGCCACTGCTCGTGGCAAAGAAATAGACCAACACATAACGACCTTGTAAAAACCCAGGCTCGGTTCTACGATGTTGCAAAAGCATGCATTGAACTCAGTTAAAGATTTTGCTTCAGTTGAGGTGCAGGGTGCAACACCAAGTTATAACCAACCAGTTAGATGTGTGTAGAGGTCTGTATGATTATACAGGAGCAGCCGGCTGTCGTTTTTTTACATGATTTAAAGAAGGAAAACCCAGTGAACAGCCGTGCGTAACAGCAATCAGTCCAGCTGCCTTCAGATACTGCAGAAATGTCATGAACTGAAGGACAAGCTTTTCCTGCGGTGCACAGCAGTTGTGGACAGCAGATATGGCAGTACAGACTGATTTTACTGACTTTCATGCTTTAACCACATTCAATGTTATTTTTTGTGCTGATTTTGGTTGGAGAGTGTTTCATTGAAATATATTAGTTATATATATATTTGTAATGATTACTCTGTTGCATTTAGTTTAAACACAGGCGGCTGATCAACTAGCCTACTGTAACACTCATTAAAACAGATTTCATGATTTAATAATTCATGTTCAAATCGTTTATTTTCTTCTTATTGTGTTACCTTTGCAAAGAGACAGGCTTAATGTTTCCCCTTGTTTCCAATCTTTATACTAAGATTAAGCTAACCAGCTGTTGAAGGTAGCATCATATTGGCTGTAAGACATGAGAGTTCTATTAATCTTTTTCTTCTAACTCTTGGCAAAAAGGTGAATAGGCATATTTCCAAAAATGTCAAAATATTCCTTTAAAAAGTCATCTGTCAATGCTGCCGACTCTACAAACATCTCATTCATGTTCAGGTGGCTGAAGAAAGCTTAGAGATGTACAACAGATATCTCAAAACCTAAGCAAATAAAAGTGAGTGAGGAAATATTTTTAGATATGGGGGTTTGTGTTTCTCCATTGTGCTTGGAAAGGTAGGGTGAAGTAAGGGAGTTGTGATCTGTAATTATGCCACTATGTTACTAAATCCTACACACTTGTCCTTTAATGCAATGATGTTTCTTTATCCAGCAACATTGTACTCACAATTGTATTTTTTATATAGGTAAGCCTTCCATTAACTAAACTTTTCTTTCACATTATTTTCAATTGCATGGCCATTCCATTGCATAATCTAGAGTTTGGCAGATTGTAAGTGCTTAAATTGGCTAGAGAAGTTCAAAATTGCAAAATTTTCAGCAAAAATAACAATAAAGATTTCTATGGTTGCGTAGCAACTGCATGAAACATAAACAGTGAAATCATCCGTACCGTGGTTGCGAAAACAGGAGTCAGTGTCATTTTCAGTGCATCAATATGTATATTTCAACATATATTTATATTTATTATATTTAGATTATTTTCAATGTGCACAAACCAGTACAGACAAATAGAATTCATGTTAAACATATTTACATATATCACTTCTATTTACAGATATTTAAGTGCCTTTTATGTACAGATATACTAAACACTGTTTGATACATTACAACATAAATGTTCTTTAGGGGTTCTCATGGTGGTCTGACAACCATTAGGGTGCTTCACAAAATTGTTTTAGTCTGGAGTGCAAATGAAGCCAAAAAACACCCCCCTCCTCCCCAACGGTGCAGGATGTCAGAAAAAATCAGGAAGTGTGTTGACGTAGTGTATGTGGAATGTCTGAGCTTCTCCTCAACATTTTGTGAAAGCCATGGGAGGGGTCTGTGGGTCGGTAGGTAGACTCCTCCAGCTGTGGCCAATCGCACTTCATCAAAACCCCTGTCACCCCCTGCACTGTGTGTGTGTGTGTGCGTGAATGTCCTGCTATTTTCAAGGGGATCACATCAGCCTATTCTAAACAGAAATGAAAGCCACTCGTTAGGGATCCACACAAAGGACAACCTGCTGCATGAAATAATTAGAAAAATGTAGATGCACGCATGCATGATTAATGTGGCCTAAACCGTACACCCATTATTGTTCTTTTTTGTTATAGGTCAAAAGAACATTTTATTTTTGTTTTTTTGTTTTTTTAAATATAAGCCACTAAAATCCGGTTCAGAGAAAAACAACAAAATGGAAAGCCAAGCACAAAGGATGAGGTGACTGCTTCGGTTACTTAGAGATGTGCGGCCTGGAAGAGTTGTTTTCACCACTGCACACCTCCTGGCTGCTACATATGTTTTATGATTGTGAAGACTCTAGCATTAGAGGGTGTTTGGTGGACCTATGAGGACACATAACCACCAGTATTCCTGTAAAAGTTTTTGTATCAAAAACATCACAAAGAATCATGTTTAGACTCCAGAAATTCTGCCTGACTACGTTGGGCTTGATTTTTTAAGTAAATATTACTGTCAGTGTCCAGTGCTTTTACAAACAACTGTGGAGATATAAAACATGATACATTTTAAGTAAACCTTTACAATTTCACCCCCTTTCCCAAAGTTTTTAAAACATTTTTGCTGAGGTTATGAGAAAAGGAACATGTTTGCCCACAAATTCCAGCAAGAACATACAGGAAATGTGTCCATATTTTCTGACCATATTTCTTCACTCTGTTTCCTGTTTTCCAGGCAAAAACCTTTTGGATTTTAGGAGTAATTTCAATCCCTTTCAGTCAATAACAAGGTTAAGATGAGTTGATACTGTATGTGTACCTTGATGCTTTACTTTTTTTAATTTCCCACCCCAGTATACAGAGTTGCCTGGCTGTGTGTTTACTCCGCCTGAATGGAGGACTTAGGAGAAATGTCCAGCTCTCTCCAGTTCCCAGAACTGCCCGTGGGGCTCCGGTTGGTCATCTTTGTCAGCAACGTTGTTCTGCGGATACTGCTGTCTGAGTCCTCTTTCTTGAAGTCAGTGTTCATTTTGAGGCAGCAGGAGAAGCAGTGCACAAAATCCTGGAGGAGGTGACCGCTGAAGATCATGTATATCCACGGGTTACAGCAGCTGTTGAGACTGGCAAGGAGTGCAGACAGAGTCACTGCTGTGTTCTCAGAATCTAGAGAGCAGAGAAAGGAAAGAGGAAAAGGATGATTAATCCGCAAAACATCTGGTGCAGGCTTGGCTGCAGAAATGCCTGTCAAAATCAATTAATCTGGTGTTGAAATGTAAAGCCTAATTTTCCTTTAAAGAAGAGAAAATCTGTCAAACGCAAGAGTTCAAAAAGTGAGAGCTTCTGTTGCAAATCAAATTTATTTCAAGACTTTTTGAATCAAGTGTGATTTCCTCGATATTAACTGCTGCACATGTTGACTCTGTCCCAGAAAGGTTCATAAAACAAGATAACACCAAGAATTGCAGTGCTTTTTTTCGAAATAAAATATTTTAGACAGAATTTAAGACTAAACTTGGTTTGAATTGAAGGATGGTATATCTATCTGGGAAGAATAAAGATATCAAGATTTCAAGAAGACCGTTCCTCAATCTGAAGGCTCACAGTGCTGCACTCTGTTATTTCGTGTGAATAAAGTGATTTGTTAACAATAGATCAGTTAATTCATTTTTCTTTCTGTTGTTTTTCATTTATTTTAACACTTTTATCGGACATTTTTGGTTTTGTTTGCCAAATAAATCCACCCTTACTCCTGTGCGCACTTGGACTTCTGTTTGCTAACGGTGAGTTTTTCTTTTAGTGGCAGGTGACCAAGAGCTGTTACTTTCTGGCTATAAATCACACCATTCCTGGACCTGTAAGAGTTTCAAATTCTGTAATGATTAATACATTTATAGTTTCATTTCTTCAGCACTCACCAGCCCACTGGAAGTTCTCATCCCACACAGACCACATCTGTACTATGAAAAACGGCGCCCAGCAAACAATGTACGCCAGAACTATCACAAAAGTCATTTTAACAGTCCTCAGTTTGGCTCTTGATATAGTTGTAACGCTGCTGACGGAATGCTTCCCAATTAGCCCGTTCTTGCTGGCAGCACCAGGCATCGTTTTCCTTTTCTTGAATTTGATATTTTTCCATATGCTGTGGCAGATGAACCCGTAGCACATCATGAGAATGACCACGGGCACGAGGAAGATGCCCACGGTTATCCAGGTGATGTACGCCTTGGCGCCCCACGGCTCGATGAAGTGCGCCCAGCAGTCGTAGACGTCCGAGTCGTTCTTGATTTCGCTCAGGGAGAAGATGAATAACTGCGGGGTGCTGAGCACCAGGCTGCAAATCCACGTGGAGATGATCATGATGTAGGAGCGCTTGGTGGGCTGCTGGAGGGTTTTCAGAGGGTGGCAGATGGCAATGTAACGGTCCAGGGTCATCATCACCATCATGTAGGTGGACGCAAACATCCCCATCACCTGGAGGTGTTTGACTATCCTGCAGAGAAAGTCTGGACCGTAGAAGCGGAAGGTGACCTCCCAGCAGAGCTGCGGCAGCACCTGGAAGAAGGCGACCACCAGGTCAGCCAGGCTGAGGTGTTTGATGAAAAGGTGCATCCTCGACATCTTCTTCTTCGTGTTGTACATTGCTAGCAGGACGCTCACATTACCAATCACAGCGACCACGAAAGTGATGCTCAGCACCATTATCTCGATTTGGGCAACCTCCTCGTTTCGCGCAAACGGATCAGATCCGTTCGGGTGCACGGTGTTGTTTCCAGGTGTTTCCATCGTTACATTAGTGGAACTAAAAACCAGAGACTGGTTCCCTCCGCTCAGGAGGAGCGCATAGTCAGGAGTGTGCATGGCACTGCCCCTCTGTGCGCCCTAGCAGATACAGTGCCAGAGGGGCTGTGAAGTGCCTCTCAATCCGTATATGGAGCTACCTGATGCTCACAGAGGGGGACACTTTGCTCTCTGACTTGTGGCTGCTGTCGGGGCTTTTTAAACTCGAATCAAATTTCAGACGACGTGTGCGTAAAGCGGATACACTGCAAAAAATGAAACACCTTAAAAGATATTTATATAAGCAAATTAATTTGTTTGAAGATGCATTTCCTTGACATTGCACTTTAAATCCTTATTCAATCAAACTATGTTAAAACAAGAAACTAAAATACTCAGTGATTGGCATAGCTGTTTTTTTTCTTTTCTTTCCTTTTTTTGTTTTTGCTCTGGGAAATTCATTGTGATGAATGTCATGGGTTTTTTTTTTTGCAGTGTAGCAGCCAGTCACTTGTGTGCTCAAAATCCACATCACCACAGTTCTTCCCACTCTGGTGTGGGCCACATGTTTAGAGAGCAGTTTTGTATGCATTAAGAGTCACGCAAAACACAACTACAAAATTCTAAGGGAGTAAGTTGGGTAAAAGAAAACAAGCAGCTTGTAAATATCTGAAGTGTTATATGAAGAGTCAGACTTTACATTGTTTCCAGTGTAGAGTGAATTATTCAAAAAACAAAAAACAAATAGTTCAGTTAGTTAGTTTTAGTTAAAGCATCTGTTGTTGTAAAGTTAGTAAAATCTTAACTGAAGATATGTAACATCTCTAGAAGCCCCTTAACTTATGATGCTGCATTAACTGCAATGCATTGACCAACACATTGGAATGTTGTTTGTGTTTACCTCTGCAGGGGCCTTTTGCAATGATGAACTGTTCTGCATTGTTTATCTGAACTGATTTACTCAAATAACCACCAGGCTTGACTTACTCAGGGTTAGTGTTTCCTTTTGAAAGGCACATTTCAAAACTGTAAGAAACAGTTTTTTCATTTTTAATAATCTTTTAACGAGGTGTTTAGTGTGTTTGTTTGTGTACGCGTATGCAAGAATGTGCTTTGGAGTTTCACATACATTATTTTTTACATTTATTTTGTGTGTATACCGAGACTTTTTCTCACTTATTTATAGTATCTAGATAGTTTTGCTTGTATTTGTGCAGGTTTTGAGGTCTCTGCTATCATCCTAAAAAATGCATGTAAGCTGAATTTGTTTGAGGTTCTCACAATATTGAAAAACAACAAAATATGCTACAATCCATTTGGCTTTCTTTCCAAAAACAACGTCTTGGTTACACCGGGTAATCTGCAGACCTCACTGCCAACAGTTTCCACTGGAACTAATTGAAGTAAGAGTCCCTCTGAAATCAGTGGGTTTAGAGCAATATACACTGTCACTGGGACACTGTAAAAAGCTGCTGCTGTTGATTTCCTTAAATGTCATTTTCAGTGCTTTTACAGCACAAACAAAAATCCATTCACCCTCAATGTATTGGAAGCAGAAAGCTTGGAGCTGAATATCACCAAATAAAATACTACCAGAATTCATCTCCATGGCTAAATCCCATTTGAAGAAAATTTGAAAATAATATTTTTTTTGCAATTTGGATTTACTGACCACGCATATTTTAAAACATAACTTACATAAATACTTTGCTTTCAATAATAATTACTGTCAGATTATTTTAATTTATTTTATACTCAGTGTATGTGCACAAGAGGTCTTAGGTTTTCACATATACTACACTAAGTTGAATTAGAATGTATTATATTGGACTACTATTGACTTCCAAACTAGTTGTGCTGTCACAAAATCATGCTCACACATTTCTTATATGTCTTCAAGTTCCTGCAGTGGAGGTCAAACATCTAAGAGAATTGACAATAAGGAGAAATGGTGGCGGAGGACTTGTGTTTTAACTTCCCCTTACCAACTAGTCATTTGAAATGCCTGTTTCATCTCTTCTCTCTCCTCTCTCTTCCCTTGTCAGAGCATCTTTCCAGTCTCCGCCGTTACACACTCGTCTGGCACTTCTTTGCTTCAGCATCTTTGGCAACACTGCCTCAGTTTCCAAGTGAGCCATAACACTGTAAATCGCTTATTACAGTTTCCATTGCGAAAGCACATGATTGCCCCAACTGGCTGAGGGTATCCGGCAGCTATTCAGCTGATCCATGTGCTGATAGTGAGGATAGTTATCTTTATTGCGTTCACATTGTGTTCACTGTCCAGATCTACTCTTTTTCATTTCCGATGGCCCTTTTAGTAAGTGGTGCAAACTGTAGCTCCAGCCCTAAAATTTCCTGCTGGCCGGTTGAACTGGCTTAGTGGTATAATGAAGTTTTCTCAATTATGGCTGTGTTAGTCTCTGCTAATCTTCCCATCAGAACCCCAGCCAGGGAAATTTCTGATGCCGTGGGTTTCTGTTGAGGAGGCAACCAGCCTCCACCCATGGGGGCCCTGTTATGTGTCTGTTATTACACCCCCGCCCCCACCACTTTTGTACACTCTTGTCTTGTCCTGGAGGGTTCAAGGACAGCAGAACGGATGTCTCCCTTCACGCTGGACTGAACCAAGTTTTCCTCATCTCCTGTTTTCGAAGACGTTCACCTGAGACTTCCTGTACAGTTATTACAGCTTCAGGCTTGGTTTGTTTCATCAGCTTCAGAACATGAAGTCTCTGTTCACCATCCACAACTGCGGATTGTGTGTCTAGGCTCGGGAATCATGGGAATGCATGTTGTGTCTCCAGTAGCCAGAGCAGTCAGTCCGAATCATGTCATTAATGTTTCCCTTTTATTCACGGACTTAAAGTTCTGTAAGAGCTCCTCAGACTCTCTGGGAGTTTTTCTTATCCTTGGTGATAAAGAATCTTGTTAAGGAGTTTCCTCTTTTATAAAACCTCTCTTGCATGACTTAAATTTGTTATCACGAAGCTTTGTGAATATCAAAACATTAATTACACATTTTAATTGAAATACGTAGCTTGATTCAAATGAGATGTAACTGAATTTTATATTTTATTACTATCCTTCGATCTTTAGCTAATGGAATGTGTCACAAAACCTAAGTTTCTATAAGATGAACAATAAGCTACGTTTGAAGACTTAATACATTGTTTGTGTTACTGTCCTATGTAATGTCACGCACGGGAAGAATGCCTGTCTGCTCTTAAAAAACTGCATAGTAGGCAGGCTTCCCTTGGTCTGTCTGGCTTATATCATGAATACCTCATGCATTATAATACACTGTCAGTTCATCATGCTCCCTATATAACATATACTGTGAATACTGTAAATCTTTCCATAAAGCACAAATCTGTTTGTCTCCAGGACAACTGCAGTCCTACAAAGATCAAACAAAACATTTAATTATCTGCTCACTTTATGGATGAAGTTATGACAATAAACAGGACCTATGCAGAGGTCACCTATAATACATTCATTATGTAAGTTTATATGTAGGTTTGCGTGTTCTGCTTTGGCCTTAGGGCTGATGATATATCAGTGCTTCAGTAAACACGACATTCAGGTTTATAATCGTAAAAATCCGTACCAAGTACACATTGCTTATGCAACCTGGACCTACGTAGATGTAATAATGAAAACTTCAGTGCAGCTGCCTTTGTTTGAATCAACTTTCCACGCCACAGAGGCCACGAATAGATTTACAGGAGTATTGATTTCTTTTATATAAATTAATGTATTTTATAGAAATAAATGTAACATCTTTCTTTGTAGACATACAGGGGGTGAATAAAATAATCTGTACACCACAAACACTACAAAGGACAGTAAAGTATTTAAAAAGGTGAACAATACAAAGAGGAACGCCAATTAGCGATACCTGATTTATAAAAGGCATTATAGGAGGCAATTGAATGAGTTTGAAATAGAAAGAAACTCTGTGCCCAAAATGCATTACATTGTAAAAGGCATAAGGACACCTCTTAATTCATACTTTTGCATACCTCAGTTATGGTGAGTGCTACAGTACAGTTTAAAGTGTGCTTTGAACTTTATGGCAACACTCTCGAGGTGGAGAGGAGCATCACACATTTATGTTTTTATATTACTAATGTGTTTTGTACCATGATTATGATTTTTGTTTTTAATTTGCTTTCCCTTAAAAGACTGGCGCTTTGTACACCAACCTTAACCAACCTATGTTTGGATACAACTAATTTGCCACAGCAACTATGTTGTTTGTTGTATGTGTGTCACCATCCACCCCAACCACCTCGATGTGAGTAGACATAACACTTCATTTATTAAATAAAGGACACCTCTGAACATAATCTAGGCAGTTATTATGTTTGTCACCACAATGTAATTACAAAGACACATTAACAATATACAAACGTACATTGTGGGAGACAAATCCCCAAATCTTGTGAAAACTTTATAGTTGGATGCTGTTGAAGCAGCAAATGAATTCCCCTGTTTTTTGAATGAGATGTTCAACAACCACATACTAGTGTAATGTTTAGGTATTTCAAGTTGAAAGTAAAAAAGAAAAAAATAATAATAATCATAGGAAAAAGTGCCCTAAGTTTCAAAGTCATCACAAGCTTTTACCAAAATTGTGCTTCAGGTGTTGAAAAGCGAAATCATTTTATTCTGTTGTCATAACAAGATAAGGATAGCTCTCATTCTGATTGCGCAGCGTTCTCGACATCAAACATACTTAGATGTGATTCTAACTGGGGCGAAATGATCACTGTGTAATGGGAGCATTTCAACAGGTCTTATCACATTATTGCGAATGGTAATATTGTTACTTTGATATGAAATCACTCCTTTATCCACAGCAGAAAAAAAGCATGAGAGAGTTTCTTTTTTTTTTCAAAACATCTCACAGTGCCGCTAAAACTAATGGTTCCTATGAATGAGTCATTGAGATGTTCAGGACCATTTCCTCAACTGGACATGGTCAGATCCACTTGTCCTGCGTTATGACGGTAGTTCTGCTTTGACACGGAAATGGGAGTCTGATCCCGTCTTATCATCAAGATCCCTGGGCCATTAGAATCACATGAACAGATTCCTCTTCACATTTCATTGCGTTTTTGGTTAGTCAGAGAAGTCATTATTACAGCAAATGCCGCAATATCATTTAGTGGGTTACACAATACAGTTTAATTAAAGCTCAATTA